ACTTGGGAAACTTCTGTATATGACAGGAGAGTAAGGGAAAGAGAGTTCCAGAAAATCCAAATTTTGTTGCTTTGGGACAAGAGGTGATGTGTAAAACCTAGGTGAAGCATGTAGGTTTGAATCTGGGAGGGGTGGACGAGAGGTTCAATAACACATAAGAAATCTAAATTGTGCTTCCTCTTAAGGAAAATAAGTCTGCTGAGGGAGGAGGCAACCCCACAGATATTCCAGAAAAGAAGCTTCATGATATAAAAGGGTTGGGAGATACGCCTTTATTAGTTTTACTTCTTGTCATCATCCCCGATGGGGGGATCTCTCTCTTTGATTTGGAGAATTTGGGGAGAGGGATAGGGACTTGAGAACAGAATCTAAGGTCCATATCCAAAGGGACCAGATTGCCATTGATGAAAGGTTTTGCACCTTCTTCCCCCTCAGAGTGACAGTGGATGGGGGTTTCAACTTCTTCCTGAGCATCCTTTTCATGGCCTTCCAATCCACAGACCATATTGGGGTGAATCCAACAATCATCCTTGCTACCCGGGATAGTAACCATACTAACCAAGGGTTTTTCATCGTCAAACTGGTTGTTCGAAAGAGGAACGAAGGGAACAATATCCATGCAGCCAATGATGTTATCCACTTTTAGGTATGAGAGGTCAGGGAAAGGGCTATCTTCCACCACCTCTATAGGGGAAAAAGATTCCAAATCCGAGGCATGAGGTTGAATAATGGAGGATAGGATCAAAGGCTCTTCTTCTTGGATCTCCTCAATTGTAGGCATTAGAGATTCCCAGTCTTCTGTCAGAGGTGTGGTAATAGGGCCTGCCATTATTTGCTCTGACTGTGGGGTAACCTTCTTACTCAGCTTGGAGTAACCCGTTTGTTTCCAAGAGGAAAAATTATTGCTATGGGGAGTGGGCTTGTAGGGAAAAGCAGAAACTTTAGAGTTTGACTGGCCCACACTATTCTGATTTGCTATGTGTTTTTGGCTTCTCCCCTTTACCCATATCCATCCCTCATCTGTACTACGCCCTCGTGAGACTTCTCCTGCCGGTCCCACCTCACTGGGCGGAGCAACGACAGTGAGGTTTTCCGGCCCTTTAATCCGGCAATCTTTTGGTGCATGTCCAAATCTAGAACAAGATGAGCAATATGGTGTGTGGTTTTTGTATGAACAAGGAAGCCAAAGATCCTTAGCACCTAAACGAACATGGATTTTAGGGGGCTTGGAGATAGAAACATCCATTTCAACACAGAACCTTGTACGATCAGGGAAAACTCCAATTACCGAGTTCGAGTCCAGCTTTAAGGGTTTTCCCAGGGAGGAAGCAATAGCATATAGAACATTATGATCGTGAAGATGAAGTGGGAGCTTGCTTACCTCAACCCAGAGTGGAATAATTGGACAATCTTTTGAGGAGGAGTGCTCAAGGGTCCACTTGGTGAGGTTGATAAGGTTTCCCTTAATGGTCCAGCGTCTCTGGTGAAACCAACGTAAATAATCTCCTTGGGTGACAAGCGTCGAAGTTTGAACTCCTTATAACCACCTTTAATAAGGAAGTCTTCAGCTTCCCTAATGGAAATATGCTTAGAACCTCTTCCCACCACTGTAAACTGAAAGTTTCCAGCGAGCTTGCACTCTTCCTCCGCTGAGAAAATAACTAATGGGGCGCCCTTGTAGAAACCACCACTTTGCCCAGGGATGGAGAAATTTCCCTTGAGAAGGTCTGAGAAAAGGGTTTTTCTCGGCACCTTGGTGTGTGTGATAAGTTTTTCCGGCGGGTTACCGGTGGCCGGAAACCTAGAGAGAGAAGGGGCCGCCATATATCATATATATATATATATATATATAAATTTAAATAATAAAATTTTATTGCATAATGGATAAAAGAAGCAATTACAGCAATGTGGGAGAAGGGTTCTGCCCACCGAAAAAGAACAACAAAATGTATTACATAAACAAGATAGAAGGCTTGCGTAGGTTGGAACGAAGACCCAAAGATTTGAGATTGTCATCAAGGATCATCCATTTTTTGTCTTTGTGAGTCCAAATCCACTCTTGTATAGTCTTCATGGTTGAGGTGATGATGGAGCGTTCGTTGAAGGCCTTCCGTTCGTAGATTTCAGCATTATAAGCTTTCCATAGTCCCCATGCAATCATCCCTGGGAGTATAGAGTGGATTTTGTCCATAAGTTTTATTCTGCACGTACCAAGCCACCAGTTCATGCATACGTCGTGGATGGTGTCCCCCCTTTGAATGACAGGCCCGTCAAATAGGGTGGAAAAAAACCTCCAAATCTTTTGTGAGAGCCTGCACTGGTAAAGAGTGTGGTTCAAGTTTTGGGGACCATTGTGGCAGAAGTTACATCTAGAGGGAATGGCAATGTTGAATCTGGCTAGGTTGTCTGGGAAAGGCAGGAGATTGTG